ACTATCCTTAATTTTAGCGGTTGAATTTCAACCGCTGGGCGAACACTTGTATATATACATTCATATGCATATATCTATGAGATTTTCTTTTAAATATGTAAGATATACTTATATAAAATTAAAGTGTGTATAAAATTGCTAATGACAAAACCGGAAACGGAAAACGAATTATTACGAAGTATAAATAAAGTGGCAGCCCTTTACGCCATTTTGCATTTTCTCCTTTCAGTTCGGGAACATTGTTTACTTTTTTTAATAACAAAATATACAATCGTTTGTTGTAAAATTTGTCTACTTTTTGAAAACCTTTTTCATATAATATAAATATTTTAGTACATAGTGTTTCAAAAGAGAATATTGGTGATTTCGGGCATTTTTGAGCGTGCAATTACTCATAAAAAACAGCATCATTTCAAAAAAGTATATTTATACCTTTCATGACCACGAAATGGTATTATAATTTTGGTCCGATGTTTATAAGTACCAGGATAAGAAGGGATAGACCCATTAAAATGTATACTGAAATGATCAGAACGTCGAGCTGAGTCGATTTAGCCATGTCCGTCTGTCCGTCTGTCCGTCTGTTTGTATGAAATCTAGTCTCTCAGTTTTCGAGATATCCGGATGAAATTTGGTAGGTGGGTGTACTTTTATAATGTATTACTCATTTGTCAGAACCGGAAGAATCGGCCCACTATAACATATAGCTCCCATACAACTGATTGTTCAGATATGAGATTTTTCGTTACAACTCCTTCATTTAAGTAGCTAGGAACATGAAATTTTGCACTGTTGTCACTCATTATCAAAAAAATACTTTCAGTGAAAAAGGCTATAACCTATAGCCTCCATACATTTGATTGTTCAGATATGAGATTTTTTGCCATAACATCTCCATTTATGCAGCTAGGAATATGAAATTTCGCACTATTTTCACTCGTTATCTACAGAAAGTTTACAGTAAAATTAACAAAGATCGGGTCACTATATTTGCACCGTTTTCACTCATTATTAACAGAATACTTACAGTGAAAATAACAAAGATCGGGCCACTAAAACATATATCTCCCATACAACTGATTGTTCAGTTATGAGAATTTTCTTTATAATTCCTCCATTTATAAAGCTAGGAACGTGAAATTTTGCAATATTTCCACCCATTATTAACAGAGTACTTACAGTGGCACTAACAAAGATCGGGTCACTTTTACATACAGCTCCCATACAACTGAATGTTCAGATATTAGATTGTTTGTTATAACTCCACTCTCTATGCAGCTGGGTACATGAAATTTCGCAATATTTCCACCTATTATCAAACAAACACTTAAACTGAAAATGGCGAAGATCGGGTCGCTATAACCTATAGCCTCCATACAACTGATTGTTCAGATATGAGATTCTTTGTTATAACTTCTCCTTATATGTAGCTAGAAACATGAAATTTCGCACTATTTTCATTCATTATCAACAGAATGCTTACAGTAAAATTAACAAAGATCGGGTCACTATAACCTATTTATTGCCTCCATACAATTGATTG